ACTTGCACAAACTTGGGAGTCATTTCCTTGCTGGCCCAGTTTTCCTGCCTCTATAATGGAGATGAAATATAAATAAAATAAAATAAAATAATAATATGAATATGAATAAACAAACCTGTCTATGAACTCTGAGTTTGGTTGAGGCAATTAACCCATGTCTCTCTTCTGAGAGATGAGGAAGCTTTCAGCTCTTTATATTCTGCTGTACAGAAGGGTGTATTTTAGTTTTTGCCCAAATTCGGTGTAGTCTGTCTTGCAGTCATCTGATTTGTGGCTGATGACAGAATCGGTGATTGGGAAGGAACAAGTGGTACCGTGATCGTGGTGGGGTGGGATGATTTCAAGAGCACAAGGCCATCATGCGTGGTGGGGAAGGAACCTAACCGTGTCTTGAGCACGAGCACCTCAGTCGTTGCCGCAGAGAGCTGCCCTCCTATGAGCGGAGTCTCCTTCCCACTGATGTGGTGAGTGTCCTTCCACTAACTTCATGGCGGGTGGGCACTGCGCCCGAGGTAGTGCTTGGAGCGTGTGTTCTTCAGGCCGTTTTCTCCCTGGAAGGAAGCAGGAAAGGTTTCCTAGGAAACCCGTAGACGAGCGAGGCTGCGCTGCGTCTTACTGCTGGCTTCTCCCTCGCGTCTGCCAACTTTCAGAACTAAACCCAATGTCAAATGCTTCTCTTCCCTTGTCACCTCCCACACATTACAGCATCCACCATGGGCTATTTACAGCTACTCACAGGTGACTGTACTTCCTAAAAATTAGTTTGAAGAAATGCAGTGTCCATTCAGCCCGTTGTTCTGAGAGGCTCTTTCTTGATTCCTATCTGTATGGGACAGCACAGGGACGTGATACACATGCCGCGTTAAGTTCTCTTCCCTCATAATTGACAACTTAAAACTTGAAGAAAGAGTTTGGGGCAATCATTTATCTATTATGTAACTAGTGAGCAGCAGTTCTCTAGTTGAAATATATCTAAATATTCCAGACATGAAGTCTGCATACATGTGGGAAACCTAACCTGCTTATAACTGGCAGAACATGCTTTTTCCATAGTTTTCATGATTTTTTTTCTTTTATATGGACTAGAGAGAAAAGGAAGGAGAATCAGTGAGATATTAATCTTTATAACATCTCTTTCATTTTCTATCACATTACCTTTTCAAATAAGGCATGTACTTAAACAAACCTGTGTGAAGATACCGAATGCGCTTTGGAACCACTGATTCTGGTGCTTTTCCAAAGGTGGGCAAAGGCCGATGGCCGAAGGCTGGAGCAGAACCCCCGGCGATGGGCTTAGTGGTGAAACGGCCTTGTGGAAATGGTGAAAATGCTGACACCATGACTCGGTTCTCAGCGGGAATGAGAGTGCCCGTAGCGCGCTGCGTGCTGGGCTTTCACGGAGCAAAACACGTGTTTGCTGCCCATGCTGCTCCAGGTTGGAATGAGACACCCATAGGGATGCTGAAGAAAAGGTGTAAGGAAAATAATGTGTAATCTGATGCGTGGAATACAAAATGGTTAATGGTATCACCAGAATTATTTTGAATAATCAAATCAGATGACTCAATGCTAATTCTTAAATAATCATGAAGGCATAGTGTGATAATAACAGCAATGATATAACATACCAGTAAAAGCACTGATAATAATGCAAGACATGGTGCTTTGGGAAGCTGTTTGAATTTCAGTCCATCCGTGAGTGACACCAGCCTGTGCTGTGCGACAGCAGCGAGGGGAGGCTAGTGAAGGAAAGGTAGGAAAGCAGGAAAAGCAGAAGCACTGCTTATTAGGGACCAAAGTCAGAGAAACTGCATTGGCTGAGGTTTTGTTACAGATGAGGGCGAGGAGATGGGATGGAGGACAGATGGCTGGTTAGTTGAGTATTTCTCTGGGTTTGAGTACTTGACTTTCCCAGATATGCTGACCAGTTTAATGTGAAGCCAAAGGAAGCCACGTTACTAAAACATGATCAACAAGTGCACTGCGAGTGACCGCGCACTGCATTTTGGCACACTTCCCTAGGTTTGTTGTTTTCACAACAAAATTACCTACAGGAGCGTGGTGAAGAGCCACTTGCTAAGAGTTAAGTAGGAATTGTAGCTCTTGTCCAAAAGATGGTGATTACACATGAATGTTTACCTGAGATCTTGGCGCATGTCAGGTTTTCAGACCGTGTACCAATGAGTTCACATCAGCATTTGGGAGATCACTCAGTTTAGGGCACTGAGAATGCACAGAATATGACCCACAGTAATTCCAAAGCAGAATTTGGAGGTAATATCAGTACTTCTACTCTCAGGAAATTACATGTTTTCCTTTTTGACCCTAATTCACATAAAATAGCCAAGTATAAGCCAGTAATCTATACAAATCTAAAGTAAATCATTTTGTGATATCAATTCAGTGTGTTTGTTAGTTTAAAAAAAAAAGAAAAACAACCTAAAACCTTGCCAGTGTCCCAGCTTCATCAGATTATTAGACCATGTCTATGTCGTCGCTAATGAGATCTATCCAGATTTGTCACTAAAAATAGCAATGGACAAATAGTAAGTGTTTGATATAGAGGGTGACCTTGGAGCAATTCTACTCTCCTGTAATGTCAGTCTCTTTTTACTCAATTTCTCTAAAGTAGTTATCTGGCTGTAAAGCAGTTCAGGCAGTGATCTAGGATGTCATATATATTCCTTTAATTATTATGATCTTCCTTGTAGCAATTATAATTTCCTTTATTGCAGATAACAGTGAGATGGTAGATAAAAGTCACTAGACAGCTAGGAAAAGTTGCAGATTGAAAGTACAGTAGCCGGTTCATATTTATCTTTGTTTTTTAAATACAAAGATTCTTTTTCAACATCAAATAAAAAGAAAGAAATGATAGTAAGAGTGTTTCACTCTAACTAGAACACTTGACAGAAATAACTTTGTTGTCACATTGATTATTCAGTAATGCTAGCCATAGCATTTTTCCTTCAAATACAGAGGAAGAAATCTCTGCAGGAATACCAGAAGTGCCAACCAAATGCTTTTTCTGAGACTATATTTGAAAATTTTGAAAATTTCCCATATTGCCATAAATCTGTCATGCTCTCATGGCCCTGTTGAGAGCCTACCAACTTTGCTGGGCCAGTTTGCTCACATATAGGAAACTTTATTACTCATTTATTTCCCTAAATAGGATCCTTTTCAGGTATCTGAAATGGCCATTATTAATTAATTAACTAATTATGGCCACTATTAATACCTGCTTTTTATCATTCCAAAGCATATACATTGAATAATCTCTTTGAGGTCCGTCTTGGTGTAATTTGTTTTTCTTTCAGACTGAGTAATTGGAATTGGAAGTATAGTTTTGTTGAATAATCAGATTCCACAGGAATGCTCTGGATTTATTGTCTCTTGTACCATAAACACATGGAAGCAAATTGCTGTGCATTATTACTATTTTTATCCTATTTGGGGCAGGAAGTCAATACATACAAAAACCAAAAATAGTTTCCAAAAGCCTGCTAGGTGTTCCTTTTTCTAGTGGAATCCAGGCAGTACTGATGAGAGATGCACAGCCACTTTCTTCCATATGGTGCTTTATCAGTATATAATTCATCAAGTTAAAACATAGCTTACATAAGGAGGAGACCGTTATTCCTTTTCATTTAGACTCCAAACACAGTTGTCCCCACAATCTGTTTCAGGCTCGGTGCCCGCCATCCCCGTGGAAAGCACGCCATTCCCCTAGGTTTTGTTTCGCACCAGATCTGCGTTTCCCTCCCGTTAAATGTGATTTCTGGAGTTAGCTGTCCCGGGCAGCAGGTAGCTCTCGATTCAGAGGCTTGTGCGTATGCGGGGCTGAGGTGTTTGCCTCGCTCCCCTGCCGTCCTGCCGTGTGCACTGGGTACGTGGCCACGTAAGCCTTGGCTGCATGGCGGGTTTCAGCCTGCCTGTTCACTGAAAGAATAAGATAGGTTTGTTGGCTCAGGGGTGGGTTTTTTCTTTCTTTTGTTCTTTTTTTAATTTACTTACTCAGTTTTATTTGTAATTACTGTGTCAGACTGCTAGTATTTAGAAACAGTTTAGTCAAGACATATTGTAGAATTGGCGAAGACACGAGATGGAACTGGCAAAAAGAAAGGAGATTGTCAGGACAAATATTTCACCGTAAGTGAAAAAATCTTTGCTTGTTTGTTTTCTTCAGGTTGGAAATTGCTTACCGTGTCACTATAATCGCTTGCTGACAGTATTAAAGTTCACTTTCCGGGGCCCTTCAGTGTTTTATCAGGGGACCTGACATCTGTGTAAGGTTGCGGTAAGGACACAAGCACATAGACACAGTTGCCTTTGTAAAGCTGATGCCAGGGCATCATAATCCAGAAAATTTATGGCAGGATTTCAACTTCAGTATTGCCAGAAATAAAATTAATCCAAGGTGGAAGTGTCCTTTCGGAGAGTTCAGATTCTTCTTGGAATTGCTTTTCTCATTCCCTTCCTGCCTTTTTGCAAGCAAGCATTTACAATTTTTGGAAAATGTTGGCCACACTAATATGCCAGACTCCTTTTCCACTTTCTCATTTACTTGAAATTGAGGTTAACAAAGTCAATTCCAAGCAAGTAGTATTCATGAGTAATGATTTTTGTCCCGAAGAACAGTACTGACTTGAACAGTATGGAAGTGCTGATGCTCTTGCTTTGTACAAGAGCCCATAATGACAAAGTATTCTTGTCAGAGTAAATAATGAAACTATAAATTGTTTTCATGAGTGTGGTGATATTTGGTCTCTTGCAGAGCAAATGCAGAAAGTATTAGTGCTGCATCTCATGTGAGTAACATCAGAAATAGAAATATATACTTTAGCATGAGGAGTGTCAAGTGATGGGTGAGAAGAATCTGCTCATTGAACATTCAGCTGAATGGGAGAAGTTGCTTGAAACTTTTGAGAGGTAAAATTCAGACGTTTCGGGAAAGTGAGATGTGCGCATTGCTCTCTTCCCCTCCCCAGGGAACGGCAATGAGGCGGATCAGACTAGTGCAGGGCAGTGAAGATTTGCAGATTCGGCTTCCTTTTGCGCAGCGGCTCCGAGCTAAGCGGCGGTGAGCGGAGCGTGGAAGCGCAGGGCTCCCGTGTGGCTCCTCTCCCTGCAGCCACACGCGGGCTGTGTTCCCCTGCTAGTTCCCGTTCTTTGGATTTACCGAGCAAGTAACATTCTAGTGTGCCAGAGTCTGCGGTTCTTTCATTCTGTGCCTGTAGCATGTGTCCCTGTAAGGGTTTCGGATGGTGGGTAGGTTTTGGTTGCCATTCGTACGGCTCTTTCCTTTGTAACATGGCTCTTGTTCCCTGCCTCGGAGGGTGCAGGTGGATGCAGAGGAGGCTGCTGGCAGTGGGGAAGGAGGGCGCAGTGGGAACGTGGACTCTTCGCTTGCTGACCGAGAGCTGTGCACTGGGGAAGGCAGCAGGAAGGGGAGTTTGCAAAAGCTTTTTGCTTCCCCAGATTTCAGGTTAAATTATGGAATTTCCCTTAGTGTTGTAGGTGAGTAAGCAGAGAAGAAAACTTAAATTGCTGACTTTCGTAACGTGCTACTCAGGAGAGCGCGTGGCCTTACAAACTGCTTTTCAGATTCAGCTGTCTTTGACTCTGTGCAAACAGGTTCTGACTGGGGCAGAAATGGCTTGTTGCAGTTACGTTTTTTTTTTTTTTTTTTCTCTCCTCTGCACTATGTGGTGTGTAAACGGAAGCTGGAAAGTAAAAAGGAGGCCTTGCTAATCCTTTCCAAAGAGCTGGACACTTGTCAGCAGGAGAGAGACCAGTACAAGCTCATGGCCAACCAGCTGCGGGAACGGCACCAGGCTCTGAAAAAGAAATACCGGGAGCTGATTGTAGGTTGTTCTTTATGAGTACTGAGTAACCTGGGGACAAGAATCACCTGAATTTTGATAGAAAACCATAGTGAGAGCTGTGAAAATATTTAAATATTGTTTACAGTAGTCATGCAGTTGTACAATCCTGGTGATACTATTCCTCATTTGTTAAGCATTGATGAGATAGTGCCTGTTATCTAAGGCACAACAAAGTAGTTCCTGCACTGAGGAAATTAGTTTCAGTTATAATTCCATTAAAAAAAACTGACTGCAGTATTATTATTCCACAGCGGCTTAATGTACCGTTATGAAAAACAATGGAACATAAATTTGTAATGGCCTGCTATTCTAGAAATGTAAACAAATCTTGAGCCTTAGAATTTTTTCTGTGGTAAAATTAGTCTAACATGAATCAAGAGGCAGTATTTTAGAAACAATTTTGAAAATATTGCCGTTATGTGTTCTAAAATTTGATCCACAAATTGCTGGCTTCAGGAATAAGTTGCTAATAAAATATATCTCTTTGTTTATAGGATGGGGACCCATCTCTTCCCCCTGAAAAGAGAAAACAGGTAGGATTTTCAGTTGACATCATTATTTATTTATGTACAGCAAGAGTATACAAATATTTTAACATTTTGCAAAATAGGAAAATACTGACCAAGAAGTATGGTAAAAAGCAAACATTTCTCTCTATTGAAAGATCAGTCTTAAAACTGTGACTTCTGGCTCTTTCTTTTAAAGAGGTTACATCCTGGCATAGCAGAAGTACCATTAATCAGAATATATGACTATTGTTTTTCTGTTCACTTATGACCGAAATTGGTCAGTGTGTGGAGACTTCAGTTTATTCTCCTTGTTGTTTATCCTTCTTCTATTGCATCCTAAAATGGGTGCATGACAGGACTTCTTGCACTTGAAAAGCAGTTTGGGAATGCATTGTCTGCATCCCATAATTGTTAATTTATTGTTGTGAGTACTGTTTTCCATTAGATATTCTCCCAGGTCATTTGGACTCTATGGGTTATAAACGGTAAGAACAACAGTAATTGCATTTTATGGGTCCCCTGGAAATCTTTTTGCCTGCTCACTTTTTTTTTCTTTTGCTGGAGATCCACACAGCGTGTCCCTGTTGCAGAGAGTTGGCTGTCACATTCTGTTATTATCTTGATTTCTGGTGAAAAACTGCACCAAAAAGAAGAGGAAAGAGGAGAATCCAGAAAAACAAATATTGTTACTGTAATTATTAGTCTTGAAAGTCTTAGACTTAGGCTGTTTAAAACAAGGCACCACATTCTCTTAATAGGTTAGAAGTTTTACCATCCTTCTCTGGGAATTGGCATGTACTTCTTGCTGTTTTAATAAAAATTTAGGACTTCGCTTTTTTGGGAGGAGGGTTTTTTTTTTAATAAAGCTTTCAGAGACAATATTATTATTCCTTCAGGCCCTTAAACAAATAGCTACCAAGAAGTCAGTCGCTGAGTGTAGAATCATTTGACTTGATTATTATTTAGCATCATTTATTTAAAACTCTATTATTTCAACAGAGTTGAACAACAGAGTTGAACAACAGAGTTGTTACAAAAATTTATGACCAGTTATAAGTTTGTGTATTGTCACTGCTAAAACAGGACCTGAAACAGTATATTGTGTGTTACTGAGAAGTTTGTGACCCCCACAGTAATTTTATGCAAGTAGAGACCCTTGCATAAAGGAGTCATAGCTTCATATCTTATAATGAACTTTGTGTGGTACAAACATACATGCTGTTTTCATGGTCATAAATGAGATGAACATGATAGGCTGAATAGGTTGCTGCCCGTAGCATTTCTTTAACTGGAACTGAAGAATCATGGTTGAAATTGCAGTGTATTTCTTTTAATGGGATGAGTGGTTTGGAACTGCTACTTTCTTCTTCATCCCTTCATTTTTCATCCTCCTTATCAGTTAGCACTTTGTGACTTCTTAACATGCTTTGTCTTTCACACCAGGCCTCCTCTCTCTTTCACAAAACAGAATTTTCATATTTGGTAGGAGAAATGGCAATGTTTGATCAGCAAGGAGTTACCCAGAATGTGTTTGTAAGATCAATTGTTCTTAAGGGTTTTTTAATGTGCACTGCTCTGCAGCTTTTTCCTTGTCCACATAATCTCCATGTAATCTAAAGACTGCTGCATATGTATAGTCTGCAGCCAAGTCTGCAGCCAACCAATAAAAAAGAGAAATGAAATGAAAGACTGTGCTGCTGTGCTCCCTTCCCATGCAGTAGACATTTTGCAGTTAGTATTATTGGTATCACAGACTATTCTTGATATAACCCTCTTTATGGCAGGCATTGACAACTAGTACCGCATTTGGTTGGTGCCAGGTATGGAGAAGTTTTTGGGTAAGTAACAGGAGGGATTAAATGTTTAGAGAGCATAGGATAGTGCAGAGTCAATGTTGATGTCAAAATTCACCCTATTCTGAAGAGATAGAAAACAAATGACACTCTCTATTGCAAAAGACATATTAAAATGTAGCTCTGCATGCAGAGCTCCTGTTGCGCTTCCTGTATAATGAAAGTTCTCCCATTTTGCAGTGGTAAACATTATTATGTATTTGGTATGGTAAAGATTTTTTTTTTTAACATTGGCAACATTGGTACATTGGAAGTCCCCTGGACAGTGTTACCCTGTTGAAAGTTTTTTGTTTTTTTTTTCTTTTTGAAAAGGAGTGTAGAGAGAGAGCTTCTAATTTCGTTTATACCAGCTATTATTTTCTTCTCATTGTTCATGTTTTCAGTATAACTAGTTTAGGAGGAGCTTTGCTGTTGAACTAACAGATCAGTGAATCTTTTGACCTTCTGTATGAAATGGAAGTTCTTCTAATACAAATGAGATCCTTTGAATAAATGAAGGTGAAGTAAAACGCATGGTTAGGAAAATGACTGTGCTGGGCCACAGTCCTAAGTACGCTTTGCTTAATTTGATTTCAGTGAGACCACTCAGTTGGAGATAATGGATTTACAGTGGGGCTCTGTCTCAAGAGTAAAGCCACAATGCATGTGCTCACTGGATGAGGTCCTATATTTGTATTTTAAATTTGTCAGAAATCAAAATTAAATGGGGCTAACCATAATGGCATGCAGCCCTAGTGCAAGGCACTGCTTGATAGCTACTCCGTTTGCCAACAAGAGATTTCATCACATGATCTGTGGTGATCTTTTTGTGCATCTTTCCTGGTAACTGTGGTCCTTACCTATGTTTTAGGTCTGCATAGGTGTCCTGAGGTGGTAGACAGAGGGCTGGATTCACACTGCTTCAGCTCTGAAGCTGCTGTCTCAGCAAGCAAGCTACCCACTGACCAAGGCTTCGGCCAGCTTGACTTCTGCTCATGTATAGCTTAGCCCTAGGCATGGTATCTGGGGACAAATGGAACATCAGAAAGACCAGTTTCTGAACAAAAGTACGTTGTGACAAATTGCAAGGGGATCCATTTTGATCCCTTTTGTGCTGCCAGCTCCTAGATTAATGCACTCAGTTGTCACCATTCACTTTCAAAACAGACTGTGTTCAGGGATTGCCTGTTGCCTGTTCCTGGTATTATCAGGAAAACTAAGTAGTGTGTTTCTTGCTAATTAATGAATTCAGGCAGCCTTACTAATCTTGGGCTGAGGCACAAAAGCTCCTGCGTTCACAATCCTCTGAGATAACATCTTTGGATACAGGACGCTACTCCGTTTATTGCACGAGGGTGCTGTCGGATGCAGGACTCTACAGGGTAAGCTGTTACTCCGTTTATTGCACGAGGGTGCTGTGGAGATTAATGTGATTCCATCCTCTGTTCAGGAGTTTTGAAGCTGAAAAACACTAAGCATGTGCTTAGTCCCTGAGAGGTCCGGATTGCTGCGTGTTTCCTGGTGCGCCTGCCCTGCAGGCTGGAGCATTCACAGGCTTGGGGGTTTGGTGTGCCACAGGAATGAGCACCTGACAGTGCACGAAGGCTGGGACTCCTTAGCAGCGCTGCAAATCCTGCTTTTTTGAAATGGGGAAAAATGTTGATTCTAATAAATGTGATAGTCTCTCTTTTAAAATTTCAAGGCGCTCTTCAGACCTAACCTATGTGATATCCTCTCCTCCCCTGCTTGCTCCATCTTATCCTGATGGAGCAGAGCGCCTTGTTTGCACCATACACCTGAACACTCTGGATAAGTACGCCCCAGGGAGTTAGTCACAACACTCAAAATGCATAAGCGGTTTTGATTCTTTTTCTCCTTTTCTACATTATGTCAAAGTTTCAGTTGTCCTTAAGATCTCAAAGCAGCTAAAATCTTTCTTATAAAATAAGCAAATGAAATTATCTTCTAGCACAGTCTAGAAGTCTCTGTAAAGAAAAAAAAAATTTTTTTGACTGTGTTCATCTACTGCTGATGGAAACTTGATGTGCTCTACTCTATATGGAGTACATGGGCTGCAGTATTCTATTGAACCTTCACATTGAAGTACCTTCCTGCCAGGTAACTTTTCATGGTTTCCAGTAGTTCATACTCAGACCCTCTCTTGCTGCTAGGAGCATGTGTTGATGAGCTGCTTTACCTTTTTGGTTTGTTGGCCTTCACTGAACACCACAGCTGTGGTAGGTGAAGTGGCCGTTTGGTTCTGTGTAATGTTGTGCTAAGCTAACACACAGAAGACTGATTGAAAAAAGGAGGGGAAAAAAGTTTTACTTCTACACATATTTTAAAAACAGTCTTATAATTAAAATCATTTTAGAAATATTTCTAATTTTTAACTTTGAGTATTTTATAGTGGCTTTTTAGTTCTACTGGTCAACTGTATAAAAATTCTGCTTTTTGGACATCGTTTCGAAAGTTATTGAAAGGTGTGAAGGCAAGCCTGTCTGCCTGCTTTTGTGAAGCTTTTTGAAGTCTTGACTAGTGTCCCTCTGTACTGGGGTCCATGCCTGTCTTTCAGAGCTGCAAATATTTAGAGAAAGAAGACTGTTATTTTTTGCTGTTGTTTTGTTTTGTTTTTAATGTCAAGTTCCTGCTTAGTGAGGCTTTGATTTTCGTCCTTGTTTCTCTGTGAGGAAGTATGACACATTTTAGGTGTGTTTTGTTTAGTATGCCCAAGGCTTGTAACTTTGGAAGTATTGTGTACGTGGCCTTTCAACTTAGAAAGAAAGATACCAGGATTTTTACTTGTTATAATAAGGAAACTGTAGTGCTAGGGGAGGTCATCAGTTCCAGTGCTTTGGAGTGAACAGTGGTCATTGGTAAACAAAGCAGGTTTTTCCTGTATTAATTCAACCATTGCAATCATATGAAAGCATTGGAGGGGAAACTGCAATTAAATTTGCTATCAGTCACACCCATCAAGTATGCTTAGCATTTCATCAAACTTTTTTTTCTGTCCTATAATTCAGTCTTCTTCTTTGTTTGAAGCTGTGGCTGAAAGAAACAGACTGTAAACTGCAATGTGGAAAAGCCTGTTTGTATTAACAAAATAATTTCTAACTTTAGAGATATGTTGGAAGTTTGGATGCTTCCCTTCCCCTCAACAAAAAATACTTTTTTTCAGACAGTATCTGAAGGTAGAAAGACTTTGTTGTTTTTTCTTTCTTTCTTTTTAAGTGTCAGGTGAGATTTATGTGTAAGAGAATTGAGAGGTATATTAAACACTGTTACTATCTATCATTTTTACAGTAGTGTGAAGGAAAATAGCACTGTGTGTATGTGTGGCTAGATTTGCAAAATTGTTAAAGGAGCCAAATTTAAGTGCAGTGCATAATTCCAGGGATGACTATTTGGAGATTCAACTTCTTTCTTCTTGGATCATCTGTTGAAATTCAGTCCATTGATAGTGAAGAAAGTTCAGTTGCTGCTTGACCATTATTAGCTGCCTTACTTAGATTGATAAATATTGATAGGCGTTTTCTTCACTGGTTGCAGTATGCATCTATAGCTAAAAGTAAAGCTCTTTTCCACCTGCTATCCCCAAAAAAGATAAGAGAGATAAGTGAGAGCACCTAAGTAGAGATGCACACACACCTAAGTAGAGGTGCTCTCACTTTCTTTCTTTTTTTTTTCTCTCTCTTTTTTCTCCCTTCTTCACAGCATGTAGAGGGATCTTAGCCAATGGTTGCATTTGCTTTTTGGTCAGAGGAAAAAGGAATGTGGGGAAGTTATGTACTCTGCTGTTTTGGGGGGCCTCAAGTCTTTCACACAAGCTTCCTGGGGCTAACATCTATAAAACAATTTGCTTCTCATGTTGTAGAAGCTGAGGAATAAAGGGAAATGAAGTTGAGAGAGAGGGCTCCAGGAAGATTTTCTGATATGGGGCAATTAATTAGATGCTTGAATGAAGCACTATCTATCATTTAGTATGAAAATAGCTGCATTGAGAGGAGAAATGACTAGTTTGTACTGCTTTTCCCTCCCCTCCCCAGAGCTGAGAAATCCCTCTACTCCAGGACCATGGAGTTAAAGTTCTGAATAGCGCAGGGAAGACCGAGAGGGAAGTCAAGTCACTGGCATTCGACCGAGTCACTTTTAAGGTTTCACTTAGAGTCAAAAGAAACTGTCAAACCAAGAGAATACAGAAAAGCTGCGTTTGACAAATTTTCAGAGTTGTTCTGTGTTACACAAGTAAATGAAATGAGCTTTGTTATCCACTAAATTAACTCGCCTTGAATTTCCAAATTCCAGATGAATTCTGTGTTTCTTCTATAAATATTGAAAAGCAGGTAGAAAAATGAATCACCTTTCCCTTTGCATAGATTTCTCCCTTTTCTCTAGAAATGCGTGCTTACAGGTTCAGGCAGCCAGTCCTCCATTGTTAGTTTTATCATCTTTTGACCATATGGTGGTACGTTTTCTATATATGCCAAAGAAATGATGCCAAGCCCAGGTGTCATTTAAAGTATCTTCTTGGCTCTCTTTAAGCCCTATAGAGCACTTGAAAATCAAAAATTTCTCCTATCCGCACTTAACTGAGAGCTTTAATGAGGTCTTGCCAAAACCTCTAAAACAGGGAGCAATCTGAATTATATGTTGTATGGAAGCTCCGTGCCAGGGAAATGAGTAATTGCTGGAGACTACTTGTGTGACACAGCTTACCATGAGCACGGCAGCAGCTTTGCGTTAAGGAGCAAGGCTATACTTAGCTCCCTCTAATGCTCTTAGCGTGCTTAAAGGAGGCTGCTTTATTTTGATGTCTGAAATTCGTCATTTCGAGCCTCTCCCAAAATCTCCATCTCCAGGATAAAGGTTTTTGTCCCGTTAAGTCATTTATATGACTGACAAATAAAATTCAGCAGAGAATTGCAATCCCGGAGAAATGGTTTTAAAGGAAATAAATCTGAGAAGGAAGATTTAGTACAGGTAGGGTAATGCCTCTCCTGCAGTCAGTGGGAGCTGGATTTTGACTTCAGACTGCTTGAATGCTGCTGTTGGAGCTATAAACACTGATCAGTGAGATTGAGTTCTTCCCAGGTGTAGAAATTACATGTGCTATTGCAGTGTTAGGGCTTGTTCAAATTTGTCTAAAAAGGGACTTAGCAAACAGAAGTGTTTCGGAGAGGATGGTGCAAAGAGAGTTCCTTTTCACTAACTCAGTCTGGTGGTTAGATGGCCGTTATTGAAAGGCAGTCAGTTCTCTTTAAAAAAAATTGCATTTGCAAATTAGCCATAGATGCTTCAGTTTAAATAAACAGCCATTAAGAAGTACCTCTCAGAACTCTTGATTGAATGTTCCCTAAAGCTGCTCAGTCCATTCAGTATATGGATGACTATTACTAATTTGTTTAGGTAATAGAAAAAATTATTCTACCAAAGCATGCTTGAAAAACCTTTTGCATTCTGTGAATGGTTGCTCTCGTGGAAATTAGAGGCAGATTAATTTTTCTTATACAATTGGATGTTTAAGTTGCATGATATTATTCTCTTTCCCCAGATTATTTATTTGCAGTCTCTGTGTTTACCACTAATTAAAAAAAACCCTTTAATTTCTTCCAAACTTATGGGAAACTTGCATACAGTGCTTTGATATCAGGGCCCTAGAAGTACAATAACTGTAGCAGCAAACCAGGCTTCTTGTTCATCTAGAAGAGTATGTCAGCTTATTCAGTTATTTTTCCTGTTTAAACGTGTGAAGCTCTCAGTGTTCTAGGCCAATTGCTGTTACAAAGTTGACTAGTAGAAGTCCGGAGCAGCCTTCTGTGTATAGTAATGTACACAAGTTCCAAGTGATTATAGTTTAATAGTCTAATTCTTCACATTCTATATTCATGCTGGTGGTTTTCCTGGAATGGAAAACATGAAGTGTGGAAATAGCATTTGGTAAACAAGTGAGAGAGAGTTCACAGGAATGGGTATTAGACATCATGTGGTTTTGAAAGCGTATGAGTTTTAAAAGAAAACTCACCAAAAAATGTTGTAGGAGAATGTCAAGTGATAGTATAAATGAATGAGTGAGCAGGGAAGAAAAGAAAGAGATATTGAAATGGAAAAATGGGGAAGTTGCAAGAGGAGCACAGCAAGTAGGGACACTAAAACCAAACCTAAAATATCAGGAAGGAAAGAGGAGCTGTCAGTTGATGAGCTGGCCTCAAAGCCACAGCCTACATGTAGCAGTAGCTTAGAAGTTCTCATTCGTGGGGCTCCATCAAGTCATACTTGGAAGAGCTGAAAATCCTTTCCCCATTTCTTCTCAGACCCTTCAGATTTATGGCAATGGATGGACATACCTAGCTGGCCATAGGCAGCATCTTGACAGGCTGCCTACAGGCTGCCTAAAGGGTGCTGTGATTATTATGCTCCTAGAAGAGATCTCACAGGTAGCCTTTTCCTGCTCTGAGTCAACTGCCTGGGTATTTGTCAAATATATTTAGTGGAAAATGCGATGTGCTTTTTTGTAGTGTTTGGTCATCTCAGGGGTAAGAAATGAAGAGATGACATTATTCTTTGGTTAGCAATCAAGTAGCTCCCATTTTATTAAAATTAGAGACCAGACTGCTCACCCTGTTGATTTAATAGGGCAATGAGAATTCTAACTTTTCATCTGGATTATTTTGAGGGCTCTTTCGCTTGTTTGTTTCCCCAAGTCAATCCATCTTTATCTTCCAACGGAACAAACAGTTTTTCTCCAGCAGTGATGTTTTCTGGAAGCCTCTGTGCTGGCTCACAGCAGAAGTCAGGTTGTGTTGGAAGTTCTGGGCCACTAGACACCCATGGTATCACTCCATAGCAGGGCAAGGATTTGGGCCGGCGCTGTCCTTAGTGGGTAGGAACCTACTCTAAACGCTATCATGGTTATTCCTCTGCTCAGCCTTTTGTGCAATCCCAGGTAAGTTCGGAACTTTGTTGAAATGTTGTCTAAATACTTTGTGTTTTGCTCTTCCCCCTGCACAAGGTATCACAGCTAGTGTTGCTCTCTCTCACCTTGTTTTGTTTGAGTTTTGTGTGCCGTTCTAGGACTTCGTATGCACACAGGCTGTGTTTCCACTAATTTCCCACTAGTTTACATACAGGAATCCTGATGGCTTTTGTTGTGGTTCTGATGAAGCATGTAGTTTAGATCAAAACCAGTAAAACTGAAGATTGGTGGTGGATAATGAGTAAATCCTGGCTTTCTTTTCAATCATCACATGCACTCCATAAACACAAACTGATGTCTGCTTCTCTTCCAGGCAAATCTTGTTCAGCTACTGAGTGAGGCTCAAGATCGAAACAAACATCTTGGTGAAGAGATTAGAGAGCTTCAACAGAGACTAGGAGAAGTACAAGGGGACAATAAGGTATTATAACCTTTTTTTTTTTCTTATTCAATGGCATGAGATGTGTGACCTGAGCTGGAGTTTTGCATTTACTTCTCAGAAAAACAAAGAAATAAATCAAAACAATGGATTACAGAACTTCTAGAATATCTGAGTTAAAATAAAAACTCGAATCAGTAGAACAAAAAAAGCCTGTACAGGACTCTAGTAAGTGCAGTTTATTATGTATTTGCATATGCTGCTTTTCCCTGTTGTCCTTACCTATTTATTTTGCACCCAGCTTTGTCATAATGCTCTCAGGCTTTCTCTTTTTTAAAAAATGTATGTTTAGTCAGTGGTGTTTCCTTTTCTAAGTGAGTATGAAAGCATTTCATTTTCAGAATATGATATTTTTCACTGTAATGAAATTGCAGAATTTTAGTATATGATAAAATCAGTGGAGACACATTTTCCCTCAGAAACATTGGGCAGGTGGTCATATATGTATATATATATTTAACTTTATGTTAAGCCCTCATCCTGTTACCTTTACATAAGCAATTTATTTTATTGCTAAATTTAGCAAGTTATATGGAACATTGCTCAAAATCTGCCATTTGGTATTAATCTAACTCCTGTTGTCTCTGTTAATTGAAATATTTAAACTCAAGCCAAATCTGTGTAACATTCACAGCTGGGGCTGTGTGCAGAAGCACATTCAGAGATCAAACTAGCGAGAGGTTGGCCTTGAGACCAGTTGGCGTGGATAGCAAAGAAGTAAAAGACAAAGCAAACAATGAACGAAAACTTTCCTTCCCTCAGCTGAAGTTTTAAAAGTTACAAGTTTTAAAAATGTGAATAAAAGTTGCTTGGTTTTAAATTATTCAGTTGGAGGGTTGTTTGTTTCCATGTTTCTTGTTGTTTTTGTTTTTATATATGTGTGCTGTGATAATACACTTTTATTCAGCATTTATCACAGATGTCTTTTCAGGAGTTGGTTGGGGAACTGGGGAAAGAGGCAGATAAGACCCGCACTTTTAATGTCCATGACATTCACCTTAACTTGCTCAAGACTTCAAAGAGCAACTCCTTGAGTGTTTCTTTATATTTGTGTGTTACTGTTTGAACTATACTGCAGTTCTGAGTGCCTGGCAGTTCTGCAGTACCAAAGAAAACCATGAGAGAGTAAGTACCTGGGGCAGATGGTGCTTTTTCAGCCTCTTGGCACTTGGCTGTTATGCTATACAGCTTCTCCCAGGGCAGTTTTGGACACCTCACAGGGGTTTCTTAGTCAGCCCAAACCCACAGGTAAGCAGTTATACAGAAAAGCCTTATACAGTTATAATGAGTTACTTCAGGGGTATTATACCAACACAGAACCTTAGAGGGCCTTTAATTTGTAGCCTGACCGTAATTGCAGAGATTAAAATTGTGTAATCTGGTGTGTACTGATCCAAGTGCTACATCCCTGCAAACCTCTTGAGACAAGAGCCTACAGGTCCCAGTACTGCAAATGTTATATTCTGCTGATTCTGTACCTGATCCTAGGTGGGCTGCACTTCCAAGTAAGTGTGTCTCTAAGATACTCGGCGAGTTACTAGCTGGCCCTTTTTGTGAAATCTGTATCTGGGAATTAATTTAAATTAATGATCCTCACAAGAAATGGAACAATACACAAAGCGTCATTCTGCCAACTGTGCCCCTGCTAAACGTGTAAAACAGTGCATCGTTGAAATGAGGGAGGAAGGAATTGCATCAGACAGGGGATTATTTTAGACGTGAATTTTCATTTTTGGAACACATTCTTCACTTTCTTAGTACGTGAGAAACAGAGTTTATTTTAGAGTCAGGCTGCTGTTTCTTGAAGTGCCTAAAAAAGCTTTGCCATCTCTCTGAGGAATTTAACGCTTCCCTCCTGTGTCAGATTTTGCTCCCTTCTAGCTTTGGTGATAAAATTCTGGGCTTGTTCCTCAAGCTCATCAGTTCCCCTGTACTGGCAGCTGGGTTACTTCAGGCACTGAAGTCCAGATACTGCATGGTATACACACAAACAAAGAACTATAATAATTTGCTTGTTCTTACATTTTTTTCCCCTGCATTCTTCTCTCTGTTTTTCCAAAGTGAGGGAGGGCATCCTGCCCAGCTGGTCTACGTCAACCTTACTTCTGGCAAGAGATGAACAAACAGCTGCTTTTGCAGCAAGTGAAGCTGCTTATGGATGAACAATTCTGCCTGTGTCTGAGCAGGGGTGACTCATGCAGGCTTTGTCGCTGAATGGCAAGGGCTTTGTAGGACTAAAAAAGAAAAAAAAAAGCTCTTTTAAAAATCATACATAAGCTCTATTGATAAATGTTTTGACAGCTTGACTTGTTTTTACTTGCTTTAATGTTTGCTGCTATGAAGATCCAGTCACTTGTATTAGCAAGAAGACATTAAAGTGATGACCAGTTACTTGCTGTTGAAATCATGTTAAATCTGTAATCAGTTAGGCAATAGCAAAGTACTTTTATTCGGCTTAGCTGGGCTATTTTTTCCTTTAATTCCACTAGAATTCTCATGGCACAAATAATAAAACATTTTCAGGAAGTCTCCAGAAGGATTTGTTGCTGCAGCTTCAGAAGTGCCGCGACGGTTACACTGCAGCATTCCAGCAACAGATTTCTAAGACCGTTTATTTCTATGATTGATCACAATCTCTTATCAACTCTGACACATGAAAACTGTTCAGTGTTTGAGATATTTATTTGGAAATCCTTTTTCTTCCTTAACATGCAGCCAATAATGCTTGCAGAACAATTACTGAAACTTAGAGAAGGGTAATTATGAAATCTCATTCTTTCTCTTAATGGGGAGAAAATGGAAAGCAGGAGAGAAACTGGAGGCTTCTAGAAGACAGGATGACTCAGTTCCCTCCACTTGAATTCCTACCCACACAAAGGAGTGATTTTGTGAGCTGTCGAGGGCAGTGCTAAGTGAGAGGAAGATACTTGATGTGTGGCAAACAATAGCTGCCGCATTACTGACAGCTCGTTATTATAAAGCAGACAGTCAGTTATGCAGTAACAGTGCAAAAAAAGTTAAATGCGGTGCGTATGTTTTGGCAGAACTGGGACTTTATGTAAGAAATTCACATAGTTGTGGTCCACGTTTTAACATTTTGCAAGCACCATGGTGGAGGTGTTTGCTGTCAGTTGCTGTGGCTGCATGTGCGGGTGGTTGTCTTCCGTGAGCATCGCGCTGTTTGTGCCCATCTCCTTTTCCTTCTGCATGTTTTGTTGGTGCTCAAGCATTGGAAACGCTTTGGTGACGACGTCGTTTTGGGTCTGTCAGCCTGCCCAACAGGCAGCACGGGGAAGCCTCTCTGGGGCATCGCGGTGCTTCCTGGGGGCGCTGCATTCTGAATAATTATCTTAACCAAATTATTGTCATTGATTAAGAATAGCTGCAATATTTAAATGCCTCACTGATTGCTTTTGCTAATGGTGTCCTGGGCTGACATGCAGATAGTGCAAACCTCTGATGGAGATGGGAGTCTCTGCTGCCGCATGTGTATAAAATTTATCATAAAGCACTAAAATATGAAATAAACTCCTAACCACCCAGCATAACACCTGGTGTCTCCTTGGGTCACAGCATCTCAGGGAAGAATTTTCCAGCAGGTGCTGCCGCCTCCCGGGACACTCGCAGTGCGGAATTACAGGACTCGGCTCGTTCTGCCCCGTCAACCCCCTGATTGGCCACCTGTCTGCGAGAGGCTCTCTCTCGTTTTATGGATTGGCAGTTTGGCTTAGTTTATGGATGTCTGGCATGTTTCCTTGACTGGCTGAATTTGGATTTCGGGAGCAGCCCTTCCCTAAGACTTCCTGCATTGTTTCCCCTCAAACTTCTTAGTAAATAAAGCGCCTGCCGTTATTGCAGGAGTGCCGGGCCTGCAGTGTAATGGCCCCCTAGGCCTCCTCATGCCTGCAGGCCGGAGGAGGGCTGGTCGGGGAGCGTCCCGGCCCCGATGCACATCCCGGCCTGCGCTGTGGTCACAGCAGCTCTGCGCTGCTGCCGGCGCCCGCAGCCTCCGCAAAGGCCCATTCCACCCCTTCCGTGTCCAGCTTTCCTGCACAAGGCCGGGTCTGTGGTATTGCCTTGGTTTCTCACTGCCCTTCTCACTGAGAGGGATTCTAGAAGGAGGAATTAATTGTGTTATCCTGCCTTTTCCTCATCGGCCTTTTAGCATTTAAAGAAATGACCCCATAGCTATGAAACCATTCTGGAATTTGCCAGTTGCTGCTTTGGCTTACTGGTTGGTTCTTTGTTTTGATAAAGCATTTAGAAATCATATCTTCTCTGACCCATTTGGCTCTACTGACTGTGCAGTAGTTTGTGCTTTCCCTATGGGCAGAGGGTTATGTAGTTTGCCAAAAATAGTCACTTTTGGGGCCACTGCTTTCCCTTAACAAGTGAACTGTTTATCAGAACAAGTTGTGCTAGCTTCACTGAGTTGCACTGAACAGGAGCTGCAGTGAGTGGGGAGGATCATTTGGGTAGCCTGTCTTGCATCAGCAGGATTTTAATGGGCACATTGCAGCCATGGTGAGTGGCACCCCATAAATACCAAAGATAGATATTAATGTGCGATCTTCCCCTTTCAGAAGATTGCTTTTTCTAACCCGTCAATATAATATAATAATGGACATCATTAATTTCTTGATGCTGTTGAAAATGTGGGGAAAGTCAGGAGGGTTCTCACAGCGGGTTTCTCTGGGCTCTCTGGAGCTCCTACAAATTAGGCCATGGGGAGGCAACATTTTTGCCCAGTTGTGCACAGTATGAACCACTGTAAATGCTGCCTGCTGTTATTTTAATCCTTCGTAATTCTTGAAAGGCAATCCTCTTGGTGGTTGCTATTCAAGTCAGATATTGGATATGACTGACTTGGTCTGTCAGGCTGTTTTCCACAGGCACAAACTTGATGAGCTCATTAACTGTTTGGAGATTTTGGCCAACTCCTGTGTTGCAAGTGCATCCTTTTGTTTTTAATGTGAATTAACTTGTGCAAGTAACCAAAAATAATGCACAAACAAATGTATAAACAGCAGTTTATGCTACTTCTGCATTGAGGTGTTGCAGTGGGATTTTGTTTAATTGGCGTAGGAAAGGTGAAGCTGAGGAAGCCACTTTGTGCCTTTTATTTTTCTTACCTAGGAAAAGATAAGTGCTTATTTTCTTAAGGCCTGTATATGAAAATGTCTTTCTGAGAAGTCTCTAGCTTTAGTCTGGCCAGAATTATTTCCTGTCACTTTTAAAAGCATTGACCACATCTCTGTGTTTTCTTGGGCTTTCATCATTTGTATACTGTGGTGACGATTATCGCAGGTCTAATGCAGCTCCTGCTGATGCTTTTGGGGGTTTGACTGGAATTTTTCACTGACAACAGCATTGAGCTCTTAGCTTGGAATATTCCCTCTGGTTTAAATAATACAAGCTTTCTGGTTTGGAAGAGATGACATCTGTGACAGCTTTACTCTTTCTAATGCAGATGTGTGCTAATGCTACAGCCTGTGTTCTCTTGCTTATGGATCTGTTTTTGTAATCACAGCTCCTTCGGATGACAATAGCAAAACAAAGACTTGGAGATGAAGAGATTGGGGCTCGCCACTTTGCAGCACATGAACGTGAAGACCTCGTTCAACAACTGGAGAAAGCTCGAGAACAAGTAATAACTGCATGGATGTGTATGTGGTTGTTTACAGAGCTGGTGTGGTGGCAAGTTGGGTTTTGATGGTTAGTGGCTGATTAGCAGCACGGATAGTGATGAGGGTGCTCAGATTTTTACTGCAGTAGTTCTTATGTGCACTAATGTGAACATGCATACATGCTAGGAGCGAGTTGCCTCACCTCCAAAATTCCTCCTCCTCTAGATTATTCCTTCTCCTCTTTTTTTAATGGACTGCAACACCTGGTGACAAGTCACTACTGACAGTGAAAGAGTTTCTTTAGGGGAAGCTGCTACAAGTGAGGTATGCAACACAGTAAAAACACAGTATAACAATACAGTGAGTGATGCATCTCTTAAATTCATTCTTCAAATCAAATTGCCTGTGCAAGAGTTGAGTTTTCCCTCCTCTTCCTCCTGTCTCTTCACCATTCTTTCCCCTCATTTGAAAGCTTCTTGCATCAGCCCTCTTCTCCTTCCTTCAAGGCCATATTAATATTATGTATCATGTACTACCGAACCTGTCAGACTTTTTCCCTGATATTGATCCATATCTTTCTGGAGGATTTGGGTGGGTGGAGGGGTGTTGCATTTGCTGTCATTTCATACTCATTCCTAGCGGTGTTAGTTCCAGCCTGAATGAGCCATTTGGTGACTCAGGACGAGGTGCATATTTCTTGTTCTTCAAAGTGCAACATGACTGTTCACTGTATTTGCTCTTCCTCTGATAAGATTCTTTCTCTGATTTATCCATTCCTGAGTTCTCTTCTCTCCTTCATTGCCTGGCCCCTTTTCACTTTGTCTTCTGTTACCTTTTGGGGTTTATCAGTGTTGTCTGAGGTGGCAATAAAGACTTCTCATCACATTGCAGACTTTACATTCAATTTTCTCTCCTTGAACGACTGAGACACTTTGTGCTTGGGTATCTTTTTTACTGGACTCCTTTACCCTTTTGCTTAATAGCTAAGTTCACCCTGTCAATTGAATCCTGGCTTACTGTATGCTGGCTTGTGAGTATTCAAGTTGGTAGTTACAGAGTGCTGCAGCAAAGTTATGATCAGGGCTTTCCTTCAGTGTTGTCAGTGGTTCCATTGAAGACAATAATGACATTGTAAATGTACTTAATGAATATATTTTGAATACAACTCTGATTTCTTCTAATTACTTTTTTGGAGCTTTAAGGATATTTGAAGTGATGCTTGTTGTTTCTAAATTTTTAGTGAACTTTTGCAGGATTGAGGTCGTGAGCTTTGGAAACAGTTTTGACCTTCCAAAATCAATCCTGTTATGAAGTACTTGCTTCTGTTTTCAGTTTAAACACTGTGTGATCTGTGGTTTAAACTTCAAAACAGCAACGTAGCTCTCCTGTTTTTTCAGATTGAGTCTCTGAGACTTGATCTTCAGTCTGCATTGGATGAGCTAGAGGATTTGAAAGAAGAACGCTCTTTTTACCAAGATAAGGCTGACAGACTAAACCAAGAGCTTAATCATGTCTTAGGAGGGCATGAAAACCGTATCATTGACATAGATGCTCTGTGTATGGAGAACAGGTGAGTACCTGGCACACCTTACTGTTCCCCTAGAATAAATAGTATATTGCTACAGCTTCAGAAGTCCATCACAAGAAAACTTTAAAGGAAATATATCCAGGAATAAAAATTAAGAGATTTTGTTAATTTATGTAGTGTGCTTTGTTCTACTGTAAATGACCATCTAATAATACTGAGGAAGTTATTCTGTGGGAAATTACTAGTGCTTGATTGGTCTGCAGAGATGTCAGTAAAATTCCCAAATGTAGATAAGCAAGAGGAAGCAAGAGAAATACAGCCTTTTTACTCCCATCACTATATGACATTCAAAATCAAGAATGTTAAAAATCAGTGTCTTCTGAAACTCATAGTGAGCTGTAAGGGGCTAATCCTGAATTGGAAGTGGGGACTTAGAGTACCCTGAGTTAACAGCTTTGGATACAGTTCTTGCCATAGGGCTTGTCAATATGGGATGATGTGTCAACACTTGTGCTGGTGAAATCCCCCACGTAGATATACCTTAATATTTTTGTCACTTCATTGGAAAAATAACATCTTTTTTGGTCTCTGCTAAGAAAGCAAAGAAGAGTCATTGACCATGGAAAATACCTCCCTTAATGTCAAGAGTTCCTTTAAAATTAAATATAACTTGTAAGACACTGTTTAAAGTCTTGAGATAGGAAAGTATAATACAAAAATATTACTTCCTCCTAGCAACTCCAGGCTTGCTTCCTATTTTGCATGGCTTGCAGAGTTCTCTATCAATTTAACTCTCTCCCTTCTCCCCACTAAGATATTGCTGTGACTTTTTTCCTTCAAGATAGTTAAACTGGCACAATCCTAATACAGGATGTTATATATGCCCTTTATATGAGATAAAAATGAGGAAAAAAAAGTGTGTTTTTTTTTTTCCTGGTATGGAGATAGTTGCCTAGTCCAAGTGCATAAACTCCACTAGGACAAACTGCCTATTATTTCCTTACCACTGTTAAATTTCCTACTTTATGATTGCTAATGAGACATGCTGCGTAACTGATATTGCAGTTGAAAAGCTCTGCGTAACCAAGTCTTATGTTGACATGTACACAAATCTTCAAGCATTCATCTTGCAAACCTTCAAGTGCAGAGGACACAAGTAAATGCTTCCTGGCTAAGTACTTCCTGTAGCCATAAAAAAATCCTTCCAAGAATCTGAGGATGAAAATAAAATGGTTTTGCAGCATGCTTGACAAATCCAACACAAGGGCAGCATATTTTTCTGATGCTATTTGTTTGCCTACTTAAACTTCTGTGGGGTTAAGACTAAGAAGATTTTATTATTTTATGCTTTAGAAAACCATAGGAGGAAAAGAATTCTGTTAAAAAACAGCAGATGCCAAATAGTAAGGAGGCTCAAAAATACTTGAGCGTAACACAGTGGAAATTATTATGTGATTTTTTTCCAGATATCTTCAGGAGAGGAAGATCAACCTTCAAGAGGAAATAAACCTTCTTAAGTCTAATATTACTAAATACAAGGTAGAGTCCTCTGGACTGTGCTCCATTATTCATAGAGGATATTGTTCATTCTCATGTTTATACGCATTTAAAGAACAAAATAGTGCCTGCAAAGAAAAATGCACCATTAACATTCTGATAATATTAGTACCTATACATATTATATGCCAGACAATCTTCCTTGTGGGCTTTTCAGCCAACGTGGTACCAAGAGATACCATTAGGAATATCTTGAAAAGTGAATGAAGCACCTTTCCTAAGTTCTTTGGCTCCTACCAGGGAGCCTCCTAACCTACTGGTAAGTGGGAGGTAGAGGGGCCAGGCAGCATGTATGAATGAGCACAGCTATGCTTCAGTCACAGCAGTTCTGTCTCCCTGCTCCCTCACTATAGAACTATTTCTTGATGTATCTTAGTGGTTGCTAAGTCTTAATTATTCCTTCCTTTTTTGGATATGTGCTGTTTTGCATTAAATCTTCAGGAATGAAGCCTGAGGACAAAATATTCTTGCTCTTTCCTGAAGGCAAGAAGCCTGCTTTCTTCTCCTTGTGATTTTGGGGTGTCGGAGGGGATGGCTGCTTGTCAGAGCACGGGAAGAGTTGTCTTAGTCAGTAGGACTTTTCACTAGTTAGATCACTGTGAAGCAATCACAGCACTAATTGCTTTTTATGCATGAGCAAAGATCCTTAAAGTATTGCCAGCTTCATTTCAGTGTTTATTTACTCTTATGACTTGCGTCTCTTGGAGTGTGAGTTAGCAGTTTTTATGAGAACTGAGAATCATAGAGAGCCTCCTGGGTTTCACAGAATTGTAAAGGTTTGGAACAGCTGGACTTTTGTTGCAGGATCATGATTCTGCTGCAAACTCCTAAAAGTCAGTATTTACTACAGAAAGAGCTTCCAGAAACTATGTTTGGTTGAGGGTTTTTTGGGGGATTTTCCTTTTCAAGCCTACACAAAGAAATAAATGATGAGGGAAGTCTGATTTCATTCCTAGCTGACGTTCTCCATGGGATATTGCAACATCTTCACTGGCACCCATCAGTTTATTCAGAAGTAGGTGAATCTTAAAAATGCATGAGGGGTGGAGGAGGAGTGGGAAGAATACAATAAAGTCATTGTAATGAGACAGAATGAGTCTTTTAACATTTCAAAGACTGTTTTAGCTAGAGAGTCCCATACTCCAAAAGGATCACATCCCTAAAGAATAGTGTAGATGTTGTTTCAGAGGGAAGTTCTGAAACCAAAATCCAACGTATCAGATCCTTTACTCCTAATGAAAGGATTTGGAGCTATTGTTGTTCTGAAAGTATAATGTTTATTTTTTCTTTAGAATGCACTAGAGAGGCGAAAAAATTCGAAGACTCAGAGTAGATCCAGTAGCAGTGCTCTGACTGGAGTCCTTTCTGCAAAGCAAGGTATTACACAGATGGAGCACGATATTGCATATCTTACTGAGTTCCTCCTGTCTTACATCTTGATTTCAATTACTTTTTTTCACCAAACAAACCAAAATCTTTCCTCACTTTCACATTTATTATCATGTGCTTTTTTTTGTCCTTTCCTCAGAACTTGATGTTATACTTCCCTCTTTATACCACTTCTCCTTTAGCTACTCTTGCCATTCATTCCCTACCCAGTCAGTTGGATAAAGTTTTTTTCTTATATCTAAGCCCATCTGCAATTTTGACCATAACAAACCATCTTTTAGCTCTGCTAATGATGACAGTCCCAATGCATATTCAATGATGTGTGAGAGAGAAAAAAAAAAAAAAAGATTTGGGATGAGGGGGAAAGGTGCTCAGTTGGGCAGCTTGTTCCTGTTCTTGGAAGCTTTATGTTTAGATATTTTGCATGAAAACTTTTTGCCCTGTGTTTCTTCATGAGAGGGGAAACAGAAAAGAAGCAAAAAGCAGAGTAATAGAGAAAATTCTTCTGTGTGCCTCAGTGTCCCTTATACCCTGCTGTTTTTTCTTTCTTCATGTGTGGGTCCATTCACATATACAAATGCACATGAGATTATTAATGTTTGTCATTGTCAGTTGAAAGTCAGTTTTCTGGTTTTCACTCCCATGTGTCCTCTCCTCTGCTTGCTAGCATATACCTGTATAAAGAGCAAAGGCCAGATCTAGTTACAGCAGTTAATTATACTAGTCAACTTGCTGATGTGCTTGAGAAGTAAACAGGCTTTAAGGTCCAGAGGAAGAGTTCATGGGTGGCTGTATTTTCACATCAATCTGAAATAATCCAAAGGTTTTAATAATTCTAAAAAATAATATGAAAGCTTACTTGTGGGCTTGTGTTTTAATGTTGAAGGGAGAGAAATGCCCCATTTCTACCATCTGTGTGCCTCAGTGGCATAGAAGAATGAGTTTGTTTCCTGCAGAACAAAAATTACTTTTCTGAAAGCAAAATGAAGTTAGCAGAAAATGTGTCTGCCTATCCCTGTTCTTGCAATTGCTGTGGAATAACAATCAGCTCAAAAAGCCACCACTTTCATGCCAACTGGGTATTATATTTCTGGTCTTTGTTTTGTTTGTTAATTGAAGGAAAAACTTTGTTCATTTATGCAACGAGAATAGTTCTTTAATGCTAAGTAAATGTTTGTGTCATCTCTGTGTATGAGAAGCCAAAACTCATTTGTGTTTTTAACATTATAGTCCAAGAACTGTTGTCGGAGGATCAAGGATGTAGCCTGCCAGTCACATCACAGTCCATTTCAGATCTCAAATCACTGGCCACTGCACTGCTGGAGACTATCCATGAGAAAAACATGATCATACAACACCAAAGACAAACCAACAAGTAGGTTGCATGACTCCTACATGAAGGAGAATTTACAAAGCTGTGAAAAAATGATAGATTTGCAGAAGTTTTAGGGAAATAGGAAGGAAGGTCTGTTTTCCAGAAGATCCATTGCCATTGCTAACAAGTGGGCCCTTTCGTTTTTAGACACAAAGATCAGCCATGTGTTTAGAAAAACAGTACTTTGTAAAAACAAAGTTTGGGCTTTGTAGCATAGTCCTCCAGCTTCTGCTAGGAAAGGATTAGGTGACTGCTCAGATTGTAAAGGAAAAGGTAGCTGCTGAATTTATTGCTAATGTAACAATTTGCTGAAGAACATAGCATATAGAGGGGGAATACATGGGGGTCCTGCCATATAGGTGGGAATAGCAAATGTTGCCCTCAGGAATCTGGAAAGACTGGAGTGTAACATTTGACAGAGGTCAATATAGGTCTCCTATAGGACCATTGCTCCTAGAGGTACCTTTGCCAGACATTTTAGCAGATAAACACAGTAGGATTGCAAGCACATGTTTTTTTTTTTTTTTTAATCTGAACTTTCAAGGAGAATTTATTTACTCTTAGCTGTTCTACTAATCAGTACAATTCTTTATATCCTGCACAGCACCTATGATGGCAGAATGTAATCATTTTTGACTCATTTTCTGATAGTCTGATATTATTGTTCTTCTGTAATGTATGAAAATCAGAGCTAGGAAGTGTTCCTTGATTCTGTGCTCTTTTATTTTTTATTTTTTTTAACACTGAGTCACTACTGGTAATCAGAGGTTATTCAGGCTTCTCAAAGACACATCAGGACCAGATGCCAGGAACAGGCAGTCATCTTTCATGGAAGGAAGGAGTAATACTGAAGTAAACTGTATTGCACTAGAATAGATTATTGCTTTTTAAAATTGCTAACTGATACTAGGCAGAATCCATTGCATATTTCTTAGTGATGTGGCAACAGAAGTGGAGGAGCAGTTTATAGCCACTCTTAAATACTCCTGAGAAAGCAAATGCCTGATCAGCTTCAGGGAGACCAAAGCAGTGAACATGTAGCCTGCATCTAATTGGTGGCAGCTCAGTAACTCAAGTCTGCAAGGTTGTGATGGAGCAGGACTTCCCTGCTAAGCAGTGTTAGCGGAGGAGCCATTGCCCTAGTAAGCAGCTCCTCACTCACTTATCACTCATGTAACTCTTGAAGGAAGACATCAAGAGAATACCTTTCCTTATTGCAGGCCTCATCATTCTTTGCCCTTCAACTGTGTCATTCTTGCTGTGCTAGTTTGCTTGTTCTTGCCTATAACTGCAGCAAATATCTTCCTCAATATTGTGTCTTTTAGGCAGTCTCTTGCAACTCTCAAATGTATCAGTGTGATAATGGCTCTATCTTCTGTTTTAAACTATGAAGCGTGGGTTTTCTTTAGATCAGGCTTCACAAGGAGATGCTATTCTTTTAGCTGCTTTCCAAGCTAGTTATATGTAGCTAGTAGAGTTGTGTATGTGCCCAAACTACTATTTTGTGCACAACAGAAAGATCAGCCTAGGGGGATCTTATACAAAGGTGATAATCCATCCGTGAGGATCCTGAGTGAGCGGTGCTCAGAATTGTGGTGTTGTATTCAGTCTAGGACACCTCAGGGGGGGAAAAGGATAAATCTTGGGCAAGCTGAGTGAAAATCCTCACAGACACTTCTGTGTAGCTTACTTATCCTTTCTGTTACCTCTAGCTTTAGCTGTATTTTGGGAGCTTTTTAGGAGCTGGCCAGGAGTGGGACTTACTTCATGTAGAAGCATTGGAGCTGTGAAAGGGTTACAGTAAAAGAGAGAAATGCTGGCAGGACATCAGGAAGAAACAGCTTTTAGTGGAGGTGCTGTAGTTGGTTTTTTGGGACACTTAAATACCATGTAAACCAGAATAAATCAGAAGGTAGAAGTCTTTTCCTTTTTCCTCCTGTTCTCTTTCCATGTTCAAAGAGCATGTTCAG